CCTTCCCCCAATCGCGCTCGCCGCTCCCGCGGCCGCGCTCCGATCGCGCAGGACCGCCCCGACATCGTGGTGCTGAAGGAGGCGGGCGGCCAGGTGTGCCAGGTCGTGGTGAGGGACGAGATGACCTCGGAGAAGGCGCAGGAGATTATGCTGAACATTGCTGAGCGATACGGCAAAGGCGGGGCGGGCGGGCGAGATCGTTGGAGGGCCCCCCCACGTCGTCGTCGTCGTCGTCGTCGTCGTCGTCGTCGTCGTCGTCGTCGTCGTCGTCGTCGTCGTCGTCGTCCCCCTCGCCCCCTCGTCCCCGCGTCGTCGTCGTCGCCGTCGTCGCATCCGCCGTTGTCGTCGTCGTGGCAGGCTTGATCAAGAAGGATGGCCTTTACAGCGAGCGCGACATCCTCGTGGAGGCCGCACGGGCCACGTCTGCTTGAGGTGGCCACGACAGGGCGCCCACGAGGTCGGGAAGTTATTCGCGCTTCGCGCTTCACGGTCCTCACTCCTTTCCCACCCTTCGCCATCCCACCCGCCCCCTTCGCCATCCCACCCTTCGCCATCCCACCCTTTCCCACCCTTCAGCTGCTGTAGCCCCCCTTCGCCATCCCACCCGCCCCCCGCTGGAGTCGGGCCTTTTCGGCTAGAGGCACGGTAATTGTACGTCGTCGGGGCTGCAGCAGAGGAGCAAAAGACCTTTCGGGGGCGGCGCGAGAGCGAGAAGTTAGTCGCGCTTCGCGCTTCGCGGAGCGCAAAGACGAAGTTAGGAGCCCTTAGTCTGACTACCAATTGCCAGACCACTGAGCAGGTATAAGGTCTCACGCTCGGCAGACGTGCTGGGTACCTGCAGGTGGGTCCATAGCACGTGGTGTCGGGAGGCCCGACTTGTCCGCTGGGGACTCGGCAACCTCTGTAGCCACCGTGCGTCGGGCGCTCCTGCTGAGGTCAGGATGCTGCTGCCGAGCGGGTTGAGTGGCATAGTCCCTGCGGTCTGGCGTGCGGATTTCAGATTATCTCGACGTCCTGCTGAATCACCTGTGGTTCGGCCCCTTTGTCGCCGAGGATTGCCACCAGGGCTTCTTTTACCTTTTCGGCTCGCTGCGCCACGTGCGGAAGCCGTTCCTTGTGGTGGCGCTGAGAGCCTTCTTGGAGCCGTTCCACGTCGCGGCGGGCTACGTGCCTGCCGCTGGCCCCACGGGCCGCCGCGCCGCCCGTGGATCCGCTCGCTCGCTCCTGCTAAATGCTTGCTCCTCCTCCCCATCCTCCTCCCTCGCTGCGCCTCTCCTGAGGCGTTCTTCCAGGTGGGGCTCCTTGGCCCACCCTGGCGAGCCACCCTGCAGGGAGAATACCCGTGCGCCGCTGCAGGGATAGGTCTTACGGCCTGGCTCGCTGAGGGGGCGGGCATCACTCGGTACCCTTGGAGGCCCGCAGTGCTCGCTTTGGGGGTGGCGTGCCTCTGGTTCTTCTTGGGAGGGTACCCGATCCTGGAGCCTTCGTAGACCCTAGGTGCTGGCCTGGTCCTGGTCAGGTGTCGCTCGTAGGCAGAGATGCTGGAGGCAGGCAGTCGCTCTCCTCTCAGGCTTGCTCTTGCTCCTCCTCCTCCTCTTCCTCCGCCTCCTCCTCCTCCTCCTCCTCCTGCCTCCCCCCTGCCTTGTGCCCAGGGGACCTCGCTTTCCTGGGTCCCTGTGTGTGTGAGTGTGCGTGTGTGTGTGTGTGAGTGTGGGTAGCGTTCCCCGCTGAGTAAATTGCGAGGCAATCTCACGGTTTCGGACATGGTCCCGTAGGGGGTGCACGGTGGCCGCCCAAGGGTTGGGGCGAGAACCGCATTGTGGAAACATCATGCCCTCCATCCTTCTAGCTGCACAAAGTTTTCGGTGCTAAGGCGAGATCCACCAGCTGTCCGGGGCGCCCTCTGAGAGCCCAGACAGGTTTAGGCAACTCATCTGGGGTGATTGGGAGCTCATTGGGGTTTCATTGGACACCTCATTGCGCACGGCGTGCACTGGGGTCGTCCAATCCACTTAGGTCTTCCGTCAGGAGAAGGGGGAGGCTGAGGTCCTCCATCTCCCCCTCGCTCGGTGTTCTTCGAAATTCGGGCTCGAGGAACCACTTGAGAGACTCAGCGCGGGTGCGCTGCAGACCCCCCAAGTTGCGGCGCCTGCGGTGCCATGGAAGACGCGAGCGATCGGTACGCCCCGTTCTCGGGGCCTAGCCGCAGCTTGCGGGAGGAGGACTTCAAACCGTTCTCTGGGGCTTATCACAAGTTGGGGAAGCAGGACCAGATTCTGCCGCCGTTGAAGGGCCCCAGCAGTGCCAAGAAGTTCCAGAGCGGGGACTATGTCGACGCCTTCCTATTCGACAACCCCGAGGCCCTCGCCCGTCTGATCGCGCAGAGCGAGGGCCGCGACTCGGCTGGCGCGAGCGGCTCGGCTGGCGCGAGCGGCTCGGCTGGCGCGAGCGGCTCGGCGGGGCTCATTGAGCTCGACACCGACGACGACGACACCGCGCCTGCGCCTGCGCCCACTCGCGCGCCCGAGTTGCCCGTCCTCTCGCACGATATGGCCGCGCAGAGGCGCGATACTCCCACCCAGAGAGAGGACTGTTACGCAAACGCAAATGCCCCTCTGAGCCCCCGCCTTCGTTTCAGTTTTCTCGACCGCTCTCTCGCCCCCTCATCATTCGTAGTACCCTGCCTCGGTACGAGTCTCGGTGGTGACCGCCCTTCCCCATGATCCCTCCCTGGCCCTCCTATTGCCCCCTCGCTCCTCTGCCGCCCATCTGAGGATGGCCCCTATACTTGGGACTGCATCTTCTGCGGGAACACGAACATGATGGCCCTGAATAAGTGCCAGATGTGCGACAAGGATCTCTTCGACAAATCGGGATGGGAGGAGTGCGGGGAGAGAGCGGGGGAGGAGGAAAGGATGGGGGGAGAAAGGCCTTGCCATCCTCGCTCTCCTGCCTCCCTTTACCCTTCGCCCCATCTCCCTCCTCGTACACCTTGAGCCTCCTCACCTTTCAGCCCGATCCCTTTCTTTTCCAGGCAGCTGTCCATGACACTCTCTGAGAGCCAGGTTTAGGCAGCTCATCTGGGGCCATTGGAAGCTCATTGGGGTTTCATTGGACACCTCATTGTGCACGGCTTGTATTGAGGTCGTATTCAGTCCCAGTCCCTAGTCCGCATCCCCGCCCTCCGCCGCCAGGAGCGGGAGCTGTCCACGGAGGACTCGAGCGCGGTGCCTGAGATGATCGAGCGCGAACTGCGGGCTCAGCGCATGGACTGGCTGGACAGGACTGTCGGGGGCGAGATTAGGCTGCAGGGCATCGCTTGCGCCCAAGTTCCCATCGCGAACGAGGAGAGGGCCCGCCACGCCCGCCAGGACGAGGACGGCCTCTTTCAGGCCATGGAGGTCGACGAGGACGGCCGCCGCTACGGGCCAGACGGCCAGGCCATGGAGGGCCAGGTGGACGAGGTCGCCGCCAGCCAGGCCGAGGAGGCCCAGATGGACGAGGGCGCCGCCAGCCAGGCCATGGAGGGCGAGGTGGACGAGGTCGCTGCCAGCCAGGCCATGGACGAGGTCGCCGCCAGCCAGGCCATGGACGAGGGCGCCGCCAGCCAGGCCATGGAGGGCGAGGTGGGCGAGGTCGCCGCCAGCCAGGCCATGGAGGGCCAGGTGGGCATGGGCGGCGAGGACGCTGACGCAGAGCTGAGGAGCCCGACAGCGTCGGCGTCGGAGAACGAGGTCGAGGCCACGGTCCCTGCTGGCGACGAGGAGGTGCAATTGGCCAGGGACATGGAGCGCTCCGCGACGGGGGCGGCTGAGGAGCTCATGACGGGGACTTCTATGGGCGGAGGGTTGCAGTCCCTGCAGTCACGCTTGGAGCGTCGCGGCATGCTCGGCTTGGGGGCCAGGTCTAAGGCCATGGCGAGGCCGCCGCAACAGCAGCCCGAGATCAACGCTGGCGAGTTTGTGCCGCACCAGGTCCAGGAGGATGGGGCTACCGCGGGCGCACCGCCAGCCCCGTTGGCTGAGGACGCGCCGCCAGGCCCGTCAGCTGCGGCGGCGACGCGCGCCCAGTCAGTCAAGCCGACATCGGCACCAGCGAACGTCATGGACGAGAAGATCCGAGTCCAGGTGGGGGCGGCGAGGAAGCTGCTCGCGTCCAGCGTGCAGTGCCAGATGAAGATGAGCGAATGGAGCAGCCGCTGCGGTGGGGCCGTCATCAAGACGCTCCTTGAGCAGCAGTTCAAGGGGCAGCAGGAGGACATGCTCAGTGCCCAGGCGATCCTGAACCTTCTCGACGCGGTGGCACAAAAGGAGGACGGATCCCTTCTCGACGCGGAGAGCTTGGCAGAAGATGTCGCCCGTCCCCCCCGCGAGGGCAAGGCGGCAGTGGGCGGGCTCCCGCCGCTCCCGAGGGGAGACTCAGAGCTCGTCCTCGCGCCAGGGACCGCGAAGAGCTTGGAGTCGAGTCTCAACGAGATCGCGGTGAAGCGCACCCTGTCCGAGGCGCAGGGCAACATAAAGAACGTCCCCGCTGAGATCTTGGCCCAGATCGAGCAGCTGCAGAATGGGATTAAGGACGGCATCAAGGCGAGGAGCAACGTCTACCAGCAGTTTGGCAGGTGGCTGGCGCAGAAGATCAAGCAGGATCCGAAGTTCGCTGAGGACTGGGATGCGAAGGCAGCAGACGACCGCCGCGACTACAGGACCGAGTGGGCTCAGAGGAAGCTGACGGAGCTCAAGCGCAAGTACATCCACAAGCGCGCGTACAAGATGGTGGACGAGAGCGTCGGGACCTACTTCTCGTTCTCCCGCATCGTCGTGGACCGAGGGGGAGGAGGAGGAGGGGGAGGAGGAGGAGGAATAGTAGGAGGGAGAGGAGGGGAGGACTGGGGAGGAGGAGGAGGAGGAGGAGGAGGAGGAGGAGGACGACGACGATGCCGCCAGGAGGAGGGCGGTCACCACGACGAGGAGAACGCGATCGCCGCGCGGCGGTACTGCGAGGCGTGCATCGCCATGGGCGGCGAGTGGCTGACGTACTGCTCGCTCACGCAGCGCGTGAAGTTCTTCTACGTCTCGCTCCAGCGCCGCGAGGTGATGGAGAGGAGCTGGTCCGAGCACATCGAGAACGAGGATAAAGGCGATGAGGGCGCCGAGCCCGCCGCGGCGGCTTCCGACACAGCCTCCAGCGCCGCGGCTGCTGCGCCAGCTGCTGGCGCAGCCATCCGCCCCCAGCTCCCCGAGGATCAGGCCGCTGCCGCGACGAAGAGGGAGGCTCCTGAAGAGGGTGGGGCCGAGCAGCCCAACGCCAAGAGGGGGCGGCGGGGGAGGGCCGTCACTGACGGTGCCGACTCCCACGCGGAGATCACGCCAGAGCAGGCCGCCGCGAAGGAGGCCAAGAAGAAGGTGGCGACGGCTGAGCAGGCCGCCAAGAAGATGCTGTCGCAGTTCCAGCAGCTCACGCAGTCGGTGGACACCATCAAGCACTGCATGGCTGCGATGCCCGAGTGGAAGTGGCTCAAGGACCACAAGAAGAACATGGACGACCTCGGTGCCGTGGAGAAGGCCGTTGCCGACAGCCGCACGGACCTCTTCAACCGCATGATGAGCGAGGAGATGAAGATGATCAAGAAGGACTACGCCGACGCCGACATTGTCAGGGACTTCAATCAGATCGTGACGAAGACCGCAGGGGTGGCATTGTGGGGCAGCATGCTGTGTTTGAGTGTGTGTGCGTGTTGTCATGCTGTAATGGGTCCGTGGCTGCAGTGGTGTAGCGTGCGCAACAAAGATTGGCCTCCTCCTCCTCCTCCTCCTCCTCCTCCTCCTCCCCCCTCCTGCTGCACCGTTCCTCATCCTCCAGCTCGCGCCCTCCCTCTTCTCCACTACCTCGCCCCGCTGAGACAGGGAGAGAGGGAGAGATGAAGAGAGATAGAGAGAGATTGGGGGCAGGATGAAGACGCCCATCGCCAACCTGAAGTCCTGGCACGCGAAAGTGATGCAGAGCCACGCGCTGGAGAAGAAGCACGCTACTCAGGTCTAAGCGTCTCTCTGTGGGGAAGGGCGCGAGGGGGCAGCGCGGCGCGGGTTCAGGCTGCAGGGTTAGCAGCAGCTGCGGGCAAGGCCAGAACGCGCTGAGCAATGAGGGATCGGTTGGATAGCCCCCATCCTCCTCGCCCTCCTCCTCCTTCTGCTCTTCTCCCCCTCCTATTCCTCCTTTTCCTCCTCCTCGGGCCCATTCACCTCGTGCTTCTCCCGCTCCTCCCCTCCGACCTCCTCCCGCTTGGGGTATCAGGCCCGCCAGGTCCTGCGAGGCCATTTCCGTGGGCTCCCTCATCGATTTTTGCGATTTCCCGAGGGGGAGCACCCGATGAGTCACCCGATGAGCGCCCCCCCGATGAGCTACCCGATGAGCCTCACCAAACCCTGTGTTTTCACAGCTAAAGTGCACCTCATCGCGCCCGGTCAGCGCCCCGATGACCCGATGAGTCACCCGATGAGCCCCGATGAGCCCCCAGGACCGCCCCCCGATGAGCCCCCCGGGGGCTCCGCAGCTCAGAAATTCAACTGGGGTCGCCTCAGAGGAGGCGATGGGCCCTCACAGGTGAAGATAGCTCAGCGATTCTGGCATGCCACCCCTTCTTTGCCCCGCCCGCTGCCGCTGGCCAACGCGAGCCCGTCGTTGCATCGAGAGCGTTCCTGCTGAGAAGGGCCGAGGTGGGAATGCGGAAGGCGATGGGAGAGGGGGGGAGTTGAGCCCGCGCGCAAGCAGGAACATGGGGGCTCTCAGCGCACGGCGGCAGTTTAAATCGTGGGCGGCAGCGGGTTCTTTTGATTCCAGCCCGATTGGGCTGGCACGAGGCACCTGGAAACGAGATGGGCGCGGCGACGCTGTGCTCGACAGAAACAGTTAGCGACCCCCACCCTTTGCTCGCGCTCGGAGGCGAGAATGCATTGGGGGAGAAGGAGGGAGGAGGGGATGAGGAGGGATCATGTGGTGATGAGGATGAGGATGCTGAATACGAGCGAGGGCGGATATGAGTATGATGAAGATGGATGAGACGAGATAATGATGCATGAGTGTGATGGCAGATGACATGATCGCTCGTATGAAGCACCGATCCTGGTAAGATGCGGCATTAACGCTGGCGCCCCACATGAATAGCAGCGCCTGCCATCGCCGTCCAGCGAGATCTTTGGCCCGAGACCGATCGCATTCCCATCCGCGCTCATGGGGCCTGGCCATGTACCTCCGCCACCCCCTCGGCATCCAGAGACCCGAGGCCGCAAACGGAAAGGTCCTGCGGAGCCATCGCCGCGCCCTTGGGACGAGGAGACCGATAGTGAGTGCGATTCCGATGAGCCTCGCGACCCAGAAGCTGGGATGTCGTTCGTCAACGAACTGATCGAAATGTACCTCCTTGGGAAGCCAATGAATGCTCGTCACATGAGCGTCCTCTGCCATTACGCCTGGAAAGGCGGCCTGCTAGAAGCAAAGCCATATGCGGTCAACCCAGAGTCCAAAGGTCGCAACCACCAGCGTAAAATAGATAAAGCATTGAATCTGGAGCGCTTTGACGCCAGGCTGTATAATGTGGATGCTCCAGGGCATGACCGCAATGATCCTGAGATAACGTCGTTGTCATTCCACGTCACACCGCCGCACGAAGCACTTGCGGCCGAGCTTGAAGCGCATCCCGAGATTTTGGAGCAGTGGCAGTCAAAGCTTGCCACGGAACCCTGGATTAAGGAGTGGGAGGAACACGGTCTCGTCAGGGGGGCCTCAGCCGATGACAAACGCACAATTCTACCCATCGCCCTTTACATGGACAAGGTTGCTTTCAACAAAAAGGACAGCTTCTTGGGGATGTTTGTGCATTTACTTCCGACGGGTAGGAGGCACATGATTGCGTGCCTGAGAACGTCAGATCTCTGCAACTGTGGGTGCAGCCATTGGTGCTCCGTGTACCCAATATATCAATTTATATACTGGTCATTGAAATGTCTTGCTGATGGTACTTATCCAGAGACCCGCCATGATAAAGAACCTTGGCGTGAAAATGATCAAGAGCGAGCTGCCCTGGCGGGGAAGGCTTGCGGGGTCGGGAAGCGGGGTTCAGAGTGGTCGTTTCTATTGAATTCTCGCATGCGACACGCCCACTGATGAGACGATGATTGTGGATGACGGTGCAGGTGATGACGGCGAGGAGGAGGAAGAGGAGGAGGGGGAGGAGGAGGCGGACGGAGGAAGGACCTATCCCGCCCCTTCCTATCCCCCTGGCCGCGCGCCCCCCCCACCCCTTCCAGCCTGCCCCCTCGACCTTATCCCCCATGCGTCCCCCCGATCCTCTTTCTGTTTCCCCGACAATTACGTACGATAGAAACGATCGCTCTGTAGTGGCGGGGCACTTGCGCATCACATGAGCTTGCCATTGCATCGTTGCGCAGATGAGCATCGCAAGATCGAGAGCGGCTGAACGGCACGAGCGCTGTCTTGCATCGCAGCTGGGCGGAGGTCAGACGGACAGCTGATCGAACGAGGATGAGGGGAATGGGAGGGGTGAGGACGGGGCGGAGGAGGATGGAGGAGGACACCGATGAGGACGAGGACGACGAGGAGACGGAACGCGGGGCGCCTGTATAAACGACCAATCCCCAAATGACCACCCCAATGAACACCCAATGAACTCACAATGAGTTTCGATGAGCTGTCCGGCAAGACGGGCGAGGGGCAGCGGGACGGACACATGCGGGGGGGGCATGAGAACATGGCAAGGAGGGGGCGGGTTGCATTGGGAAGCAGCATGCACGGGGGTATGCGTAAAAGCAAGCAGCAGGGGTTCACCAGGGAGGCCTTGGGTTTCAAAGCAGTCGTGGTGGACTTCAAGGCAGACTGGCCAGAGATGAGCACTGGCATGGGATTCCCTGCGCACAACCATGGCCGCGCACCCTGTTTAATGCGCAGGCAGTCGGCAGAGCAAATCCATACACATGATATCCGACAGCCGATGGGGCCCAACCCTGAAGACACCGAGGAATCCTACGATGCGGAGTGCTCAAAGCATGAAATATATGTTGTAATCGAAAACATTGAGCAGCTCCGAAAAGTTCGTTTCAGGCTTCAACGTAAACATTCCGATCGGGGACGTTCCTTGACGGTCCCGCTCGCGCCCCCAAACCAAACGCCGCTTTTGAAGGGCGACAGGCTCGAACCGACACCAAGCATGCTAGATGCAAACATGCTCGATCATATAACAAAGTTCCCAGCACTTGTCATGTTCTGGCGGCCTTCCAAAGACGAGCGTACTTACCACAGGAACCCGCTCCTGGATCCTTTGATCGGAACAGGAATACATAGTTTTAGCATCGACGAGCTACATTGTATGCACCTCGGGGTTTTTCAGGCATGGAGTGCGCACGTATTATGGTTGCTGATCACTTGTAACGTTCTCAAAGTAAATGCAGCTTTGCAAGACGACAGAGTGCGGTTGAGCTTACAATTCTTTCGTGTAGAGCTAGACAAGTGGTACGACGACCAGAAGAGAGCACGCCCTACCAAAGACATCACAAGAATAGGGGACCTAACGCCTGGGATGATCGGGACAAAGGCCGCGCCATCACTTTCACTGAAGGCGCAGGAATCAAAATGGTTCACATACTTCATGGTAGATACGCTCGACAAGTATAATGATAAGATCCCCGATGGCAACCATAAAGAAATTTTACTTGCTGCTGGCAGAGCTCTGGTTACGTTCAGCGATACCCTGGATTCGGAGCCAAGACACATCCCAGTGAATACATGTAAGAAGCTCCAAGACCTAGCCGACCTCCACGTGGGTCTTTGCGAACAAGCGGGCGTCAACATGTACCCCAAGCACCACATGTTTCGACATCTTGCTGCCCAGATCCGTAGGAAAGGAAACCCGCGGTACTACAACACATACTGGGACGAATCGGTCAACGGAGTCGTCGCAGACCTTGCGAATACAACCCACAGGGCAAGATTCGAGCGCATGACGTTCAGGAAATATGGCTATTTGAAGTCTGAAGGACCCCCTGGGACACCAGCAATTAGGGCAGGCAGCAGGCAAGCACGGTGTAAGGGCGCGTAGGAGGAGGGGGAGGAGGAGGGGGAGGAGGAGGAGGCGGAGGAGAAAGAGGAGCGGAGGATGAGGAATGGAAGGAGGTAGATGAGGAGGATACCAGAGGAGCGAGAAACGCCATCGATCGCCGCCGCAGCCCAGTTGCCCAGGGCTAGCGGGGCGGTCGGGCCAGCTCGCCCCGCGCGCGGCCGAGTGGACCGAAGTTTCTCTTTTCATCCGCTCCCCACCGTTTCTGTGGGGGTGGGCCGAGAGCTCTCCTTCTCTTGCTCCTCCCTCTCCTTCTTCTCCTCCTCCTACCCCTCCTCACCTCCCCTCTCTCGCCCTCCCCCTCCTCGCCCTCCAACCCCATTCGCATTCCCTCCTCTTCCCCCCATCCACAGGGGGAACTGAGGCGTTTCTGACTCCTTGCCATTTGGTTGCATCCATCTTCTTCGATCTGGGGCGGACCCTAGCTCGAATATAGATGCAGCCAGGGGGGGCGCGAGGGCGAGTCGGGGGGGCCGCCCCCGACAGGACGCAAAGCTCAGACGGGCAAAGATACGGTGACGGCTTCTAAAGGATGGTGATGATGTTCCAGCAAGGCGGCCACTT